CAGCGGGGGGGGCCCCCAGGGGGCCCCCGCAGCAAGAGGGGGCCCCTAAGCAGAATAAATATTAAACAAAAGGTTGAGGAGAGGCTGTAATATAAATATAAAAATAAATAATTTTATTTATTAATAGAGAAGGAGCTGGCTGTACACCCCGCTGAGGCCCTATACATTTGCTGCTGCGCAGCTTGGGGGGTTAGGGTTTAGGGTTTAGGGTTTAGGGTTTAGGGTTTAGGGTTTGGTGTGTGTGCGTATCGGTTGGTTAGCAAGAAGGATGCTAGACCCTAAACCCTGCATCCTAAACCCGAGACCGTAGACCCTAAACCCTAAACCCTAAACCCTAAACCCTAAACCCTAAACCCTAAACCCTAAACCCTCGGCGGCGTTCTCTGTCTCTCTTCTCCTGCTGCTGTTTAGGGGGCTTGTGCGTGGGGTGTATCTCCACCACCAAAGGGTAGCTGCATCAAGCAGCAGCAGCAGCAACAGTCACTGCAGCAGCAGCAGCAGCAGCAACAGTCGCTGCAGCAGCAGCAGCAGCAACAGCAACAACAATTGCTGCTGCTGCTGCTGCTGCTTCTACGGAAGGAGCAACAGAAGTCCGCGCAGCGGCAGCCGCATGAAAAGGAGCAGCAGCAGCAGCAGTTTCCCAGCAGCAGCAGCAGCAGCAGCAGCAGCAAGCAGAGGAGCAGCAGCAGCAGCAAAAACAGCAGGAGCAGCAGTACGTTGAAGCGCGCCTGCAGCAGCATTGACAACAGCAGCAGCCACAGCAGCAGCAGCAGCAGCAGCAGGGACTGCTGCAGCAGCACAAGTCGCATGATCAGCAGCAGCAACAGCAGCAGCAGAAGGCAAACAAGATGACGCCGCTGCTGCCGCTGCTGCTGCTGCTGCTGCTGCTGCTTGGCAGCAGCCTTTATCTGAGTGGAACTGCTGAAGCAGCAGCTCTAAAGCAAAGGGTACAGGGGCCCCCTGGGGCCCCCGGGGGCCCCCCCCCTCCCCTTACCTTCTTGTCTGCGGGGCCCCCTCTGCTGCAGCGGCCCCACTGGGGAGCCCGAGCTCCTGCTGCTGCTGCTGCTG